CCCCAAAACCCCAAAACCCCAAAACCCCAAAACCCCTAAAAAATCAATCTCTAGGATGCTTTTAAATAAAAATTATTCTTAAATTTATCATGAGCGAGCAAGAAAACAAGGAGACATCTGAGCAAAGCCCACTTGCTTCTCAAAGAGACAAGGATGAAACCTTGAAATGGTTCCAATTCGAAAACAAAATGAGAGGTATTGTTATATAAAAGATATAGCTCTGAGATACTATTAAAGAACTTCTGAATCCAATCTTTACTCAAGACAAGCTCATAGAGGACCGTTTCAATGTCCTAAGCGAATCAATTCACCGATGTAATGAGCGTGTTGGCTACCTCGAAGGGAAAGCAACTGAAGCAGGCACTGGGCTTAAGTAAGGCTGAAATCCTTGCTGTCAAAGTTAACACCATTGAGCATGACTTTACCAAAGTCTTCGAGGAACTCAAGGTACAACTAACTTCCATTACTCACAATATCTCTCAAGAAAGGATCAGATCTGAAAAATTTGACAGTGAACAGAAGGCTAATGATGATAAGATCAACCGCCTAGTTCAAAATGTTAATCATTCTCGAGAGACCTTCCTCGATCTTAAAGGACAACTCTTTAGTGAAATCTCTAAGGTAAAGGAATCCCTATTTCAAGAAGTCCAGATCATCACTGATGCAATACGAAAGACCAGGACTAAGCAAGAAACTTGTACCTCACAGATTGAGAATCATAAATCGATTTTAAACAGTCTCGACACAGTCATGGAGAAAATTGATCTCGAAATTTCACATAAATTTAATATGAGTGTGAAGGGTCTTAAGCAAGAAAAACTTGACGCAAAAGTATTCTATGAGAAGTACAACTCCCTCAGTAGCAAGGTTAAACACCTAACTGAAGAGACGGATGATCTACAGGTCCACCAGGGATCCATGAAAACTGACCTTTTTAAGCTGATAAATGCTAATACCCAAGTTGAGTTCTTCAACTTGATGAATGTTCTTTTCCCAGAAGAAACAGAGCAAAAGCAGAGTATGAGGAAATATCTCACAGAGAAATTCCAAAAGTTAGCTCCAACCAAGAAATCTATTAAATCCGTTCTTAAAAAGAGAAAGATCAGTGAAGTCTCCCAGGACCTTGAGGAAGAGAAGCAGTCTAAGGCTTCAGACCTTCTCGAAGAAATAGTCGAAGAGACAGTTGAGGAGGAATATGAGGAAGAAATGGAACTCTCGGAGATCACCCCTCAAATTCTTAAACAATTCGATCAAATTAAAAAGGAGTGATTCGATATCAAATCTGAGAATTTTCAGAAGAAACAAAGAGAAATTATCCAACTATTCGAAAATGATAAATTAAAGAAAGACCAGCAGGAACAGAAAAAGATATTGGAGACCTTGGAGACTCAGATGGAAGACAAATATGCGAATCTGGTGAAAATGGCCTCCACTGTGGACATCCTCAAGCTTAACCAGGAACGGACAGCTCTCAAATTAGCAGAAGTTAATAATAATTTCAGAGAGTATCAGGATAAGACTCATAAATTGTATAAGAATACCTATGATAAAGCTATAAGCAACCTTGAAGCTCAAATTAAGAAGATTCAGATGGGAATTGCCAGTGGCTGAAACTCAAGGAATTTAACCCCGATGCATAGCAAAGGAGAACTTCACCAAGATTTCTCTGCTTCGGCAGCTAAATTAGATACCCAGGATCTGAACAATGTAGAGATTAGTCAGTTTGACCCTAGCCAGCAGCTGTTGCCTAACCAAATGATGGATTTTGATAAATTTACATTCGACACTTTTGATCATGACGAAATGATCAGACAGGTGGATAATGGCTGAGAAAAGTTGGAAACCAGACTCATGAAAGTCATCGAGGAGGTCAAAGACAACTTTACCAAATCAATAGAGGACCAGTCTAGCCAAAATCTTGAGGGATTAGAGAGACTCAGACAAGATATTTATAACCAGGACGACCTGATCGAAAGCATTGATAATCGGCAAGATAAATTCCAGAATGATTTTGATTCCATGATTCGAAAGATTCGAAAAGAGAATGACGAGTACCAAGCTAATGTAAGATACCCAGATTAGACCTTTAGATGATCGAAATGAGGAAGGGCTTCAGAGATGAAATAGACTCCTTTTATAAGAAATGGAAGAGAGAAAAGGCCGACCAAACACATGATTTACGTAAAATGAAGGAACTAATCAAGCATTCTACTACTCTATCAGGTGTAGTGAAGGAGACCCTGAGTACTATGGGTACTATTATCTGCAGCCTGATCGAGCTGGCAAGCATGCAGATTTCTATAGAAAAGAATGACCTAAAAGATCGTAAAACTATTAATTTGTATGGCTCTACTGAAACATGGGTAAATTTTTGGTTGATACCTTTAGATAAATGCTTCCAAGACTAGCATCGGTAAGGACAATAATGCTGCAAGTGGAATCTTGAAGCTCGATACTAAATGAATCTCCTGCTCAGGAAACTCTTCTCATGAAATTATTAAAATGTTTAAGATGGCTTGTTTAAACTATGAGCCAACTCCATTTAAATATCGGAACAAAGTGTTTTCATACGAAGAGATTCAAGATTTAAAGGCAGAAATAGTAACCAAATGAGAAGAAATCTTAATAGATGATAATGTATTTAAAACACTTGAACTTCATCCTAAGAAGCTTTATGATGATATGGTGCTACAGAATTCAGAGAATTTATCAAGCGTGAAACGGCAGAAAACTCCCAATAAAATTTTCAAACTCAATGTGTCTACTTCCGCTATAAAAAAGACTCCGCAATTGTCAGAGCAGCAGAAGAGAGGGTTGATACATAAATTTATTTCATCTCAAACTCCTCAAGCGATAAATATTCAAAATCCTTCAAGGTCAAATTTTGACGATTTGCCTGATGAGTCACTCAACACTGTGAAGATGCCTGACTTGAAGCAGACCTCAAAGAACCTCCAATCCATGTCGAATTCTTACCTAAAAACTTCTGATGGGAGTCGGTCACTTATGAAGAAATATACACCATCAAGAGTAAGCTCTGACATCTAAAATCTTCATAGGCTAAATTTTCAAAATCTCTGAACAGATCTGAACTGGGGATGTACCCTGCGCCTTACAGTAGGACTCGGCCGCAATCAAAGTTTGTCCAGAAGGGGAATTACATCGACTAGCAGTATTAATCTGTCAACGAATTTGTAATCTAAAGGGGTTTTGGGGTTTTGGGGTTTTGGGGTTTTGGGGTTTTGGGGTTTTGGG